CATGTGAGTGTTAGCATTCGTCATGTGAGTGTTAGCATTCATCATGTGAGTGTTAGCATTCATCATGTGAGTGTTAGCATTCATCATGTGAGTGTTAGCATTCATCATGTGAGTGTTAGCATTCATCAGGTCAGTGTTAGCATTCATCACGTGAATGTTAGCATTTAACAGGTGAGTGTTAGCATTCATCAGGTGAGTGTTAGCGTTCATCAGGTGAGTGTTAGCATTCATCAGGTGAGTGTTAGCATTGAACAGGTGAGTGTTAGCGTTCATCAGGTGAGTGTTAGCATTCATCAGATGAGTGTCAGCATTCATCAGATGAGTGTTAGCAGTCAACACGGACTGAATGACTTCATTCACTCCCTCCACTGTCATTGCTACACTACAGGAACAGCAGAAAATTTATGTAATTGTTCACAACTCCTCCTGTTTGATTGGTTAGGTTAGGTTGAAATTCTGCTGGAGAAATCCATATCAGTGGGAGAAAGCCCAGATGGAGCAGAGAAGGGATATTAGAATCGATCAGATCTGTGCAGGAAGGCAATGACCAGGCTAGAAATTGCTGGTTTGTCAATATTTATTTTCTAATTATTTTAGTATTGGGATTATTCAACAAACAGTGAAATGCCTGTAATGTAAAATGACCAAATTTACATGAAATGTAATCAATGTCCAAAATAAAGCTATGTGTATAGAGTGCTGAAAGAATAATGAAGAGCACTGATTATTTATTTGTTTAGTTTAGAGCATTGATAGTTAATGTGAAATTTTACAGCATTGATTGTTAATGTGAAATTTTACTCTCAGAAAATGAAAATAAATTACCTAATAAACACACTGGCACTTTGTGAAAGTCTCATGCCACAAAGGTGCCAGACCAGCTGCTGCTGTATTTGGACTGTAGTAAAGAAAGCCTCTACTTATAAAAACACAGTTTGTTTTGCTTTTGTGTTATTTCTAATGACTGTAAATATAAACCACATCAAACCTCTGGCATCCTGTGGCAACCACAGTCACAGAAATCAGAATAAAACTACATCTTGGCTGCAATCTCCATGTGAGGAGACCTGCTGCTCTACACTGTGTAGATCAATGATCACTCAGGGATCATAAAATCAGTCTGGACCATAGACTGATCACTAGACTGAAACCTAAAAATACTCACATTTATAATATTATTTTACACTCTGTAGGTCTAAATATTAATCAGACATTTATAATATTATTTTACACTCTGTAGGTC